CACCCATAGAGGAGGAAGAGGAGTGTAAGGCTATCTTTGACTACATAGTTGGGTTACATGAGACCTGGTCTCAATTAATTAATTACCATAGTAAGATATCACTTCACACCTAACAGCACGGCCACCATAAACAACAACAACTACAACACAACCACCCTGGCAAAGATGTGGAGAAATCAGACATCTTATGTACCCCGGATGAGGATATTAAATGGTATTGTTGCTATGGAAATAAGGATGGGTATTCAAAAAAATAGTCATAATTTTATACTGCTTCAATTAATTCTGACATATATGTATATGAGTTGAAAGTAGGAATTGGAATACTTTTGTATATTAGTTTTGAAAGAAGCATTATTCACAATAGCCCAGAGGTAGAAGTAACCAAGTTCCCACTGACAGATGAATATATAACAAAAATGTCATGTCTTATACATAATGAAACATTAGCCTTAAAAAGGAAGCAAGTTCTAACACATACTGCAACATAATGAATCTTGAAGATACGCTAAGTGAAAGAAGTCAACCATAAAATGGCAAACTCTATAATTCCACTCATGTGACAGACCTGGACTTGTCAAATTTATAAAGACACAAAGTAGAGCTGTCGTTGCTAGGTGTCGGGGGTGGTGAGTGAAAGGCACTAAGTTTGGGTTTTGCAAGATGAAACAAGTTCTGCGGTAGTTGGTAGTGACAACAGCTGTGGACCAGGGGCATAGTAGAACTGAACTGTGTGCCTAAAAACTGTGGACCAGGGGCACAGTAGAACTGAACTGTGTGCCTAAAAACTATCAAAATGGCATGGTTTTGTTATTAAAAGGCAAGGGCAGAACAGAAGGAAGAAGGGGAGAAAAAGTTGCGAACACGAGTGAAATGGGCTTTTGGGAACAGGGTTATAAGCACCTGGGGCGAGCCTGTTATGAAGATCCATCCTCGGGAGTCCTTAACTGATCTGCTTTTGTTCATCGGCGTTGTCGTTGATCGGTACTTCATGGTCACCTCTCCATCACAGTTCATGTTGCTTTCTTTTCCCTTCATCTGTGCCAGCTGATGGTCTTTGAGGCCCTCCCTGCCTACTGGTACCCACTTAGCAATGTCAGCTTTCCGTCTTAGCGTCTTGTTCTGGGTATGCAAGCTTTCCGTAATTAACATCTCATGCCTGACCTCTCTGCCAAGCTGCATCTGGAACTGCAGCTGTCTGCTGGACATCTCCAGCATCTCCAATTGTTTGGCCCAAACTGGACTCTGTTTTTCCTTGCTCTGCTGCCCCTGACTGTAGTGAAAGACATGGATCGTTTGGATCTCAGGTGTAGGAGACATACGCTAGGAATCCCTTCCCCCTGCCCTGCTTCCAGCTCAGCTCAACTGTCAGCATTGTTGTTTGCCCCCTCAGTGACCACATACCACACAGGCACCCTGGTTTCCCCACCCACTATTTGTGTTCAGCTCCCTTCTTTTTCTGAATCAACCACTCAGTAGCTACCACCCTTCATGGGCTGGTTATGTTCGCTGTGGTCTTCCCTAGGGCTACTCAGTAAATATTGCCTGTCTTTTTTCCCATGAACTCTTGAACCTCATGTGTTCTGAGAGGCCATACGGGTAATTCCAGCAATCAGTTGTGAGGGAATGACATGAGGCACTTCTCCAGAGCACATAGACCAATATGACACCAGTGGTTTTTTCCCCCCTCGGGCATGGTAACTAGCAATGTCTGAGATGTTGGCTGTTTTGTCATCTTGTGCCTCTGGATAACTATTGTGTTCCCATTGTTGATGTGATGGGCATGCAGAAAGAATGAGAGATACACCTTTACTGCCTTCAGCCTCTATTAGTGCGGCATAATCCAACCTGTACTGACGAATACTGACCTTGCTAGTTTTAAAGCTCTAGTTGGAACCAGTGCCTCGGTGGATTCTGCTTGCTGGACCTGATGGGAAGGTGGTGGAAGGTACAGTGACCTGCTTAGGCACCAGAGACTTCTCTCAGCAGCTTGGCTCCCTGTAGACCACCAGTAATTTGGATGCAGTTGTGCAGAGATAGATGAAATTTCCACGTGCCTCTCTACAGGGCACCTTCTAAATTAATTAGAAGCTTGAGGTGAGCAGAGAGGACATTCTGTTAAGCTGGTGTTCTTTTAAACATTTTGAGTCTATGATATTTTAAATAGTCCCTGCCCCTGCCCCCCCCCCCCCCCAGACCAATGCTTTCCCAAGTTGTGCTTTTGTGAGAGTTAGCAGTATTTCTCTTCTGAAAATACAGAAGCATTGTATTTTCCAGTTAGGAGAGTGACCCATTTCCTCACAGACGCTTCAGCATCTGTAGGGGCTACCTGTGATGTTGAGTGGCTGAGGACAGCCAGGTCCCATGTCCCAAATGTTCTGAGCATCAGCCTGACAGAAGGCAGGCAGGACCTAGTCTGTTGTGGCATCCAGGTGTCCTTTGAGCAGAGTGAAAACCCAGCGGCCCTTCTGCCTGTCTCTCTCTGACTAGGAAAGTGGCTATCTACATGTCTGAAGTGAAGAGAAAAACAAAAGCTATGCTGTGCCCCGTGTGTGCGCTGCCTGCTGAATCCCGGCAACATAAAATGACAAGAGAAATGGGCAAGAGACAAAGATTTAATTGAATAAAAACTCCAGGCTGTGACAGGGGTGGGAAGACACAGAGCAGTAATTAACAACATAATTTTTTTAAATGATGATACAATTAATTAACATCCTGGGAAGTGCAAAGGGGGAGGGGAGCATCTCTCAGCCAAGAAACACTGCGAAATAAAGGAGAGGCGAATCTGGTGTCTTTTGCAAACATCTATGTGCAAATGGCCCCAGTTATCACAACTTCAGCAAAGCTCCCCCGCTCCCCCAAGGGGTTTCTTGCACTAGGGGAACTCAACGAGCCAGTCCATGTTAAATTTCAGTTTATTCTACGTTAGCGGTCCATGAGTTCTCATCCGTGAAGGAGGACTCCTGGGCTAATGAAAGGAGAAGCCTGTTCATACCATTCATGCTTCAGAAGAGGAGGACTGATCTGGTCACCCTTGGTGGTGACCTGGGGGGAGGGAACCCAGGAGATAAAAGCCTTCCTGGAGTGGGCTTCCATGCCTAGTGTATCCCAAGGCTGATGGAAGTAAAGCCGTTGACTGGGGTGGTAAGAGGGCTGGCCATAACCAGGGCACAATCTTCTGAAACTGTTGGGATGCCCACTTAGGGGAAAGAGTAGCTGTGACAATAGAAGGGTCTCTCAGACAGGCAGTGCTAGCCCATAATTCATGCAGACCACACCCTCCTCTCTAAATCCTGCCTGAGGGTTTGGGGTGGCAGCTAGGCATGCTTTTGGAACCCACTTCTGGGAGAATGGATTGCTCCCTGTGACCCAGAAAACTCAACTGTCCCCTTTCTCTCTGCGCTGCTGTGTGGCTGCAATAGTCGCCTTCATGCAGTCCATCATCGTCAAGAAACACAATAAGGTTGGTTGCTTGCTGGGACTCTTGTCATGACCACGTGGGTTCTCTCCCTCTCAAGAGTACTTCCAAACAGGGAACTGCCTGACTAGAAAGGCTTATCAATGGTAAGATATTAGGGGAGGAACTCTTTACACACCAGCCCCTAGCCCGAGGCTCATACTCAGTGAAGTCTAGATTCATCTACATTTACTAGAAAAGTAGATTGCTTTTGTTGCCACAATACCCTGTTGACTCATGTCCAATCTGATCACACTTCTGGCCAGCAGACATGGAGTTAGATCAGCAGAGAAACATGGTGGCTTGACTTGAAACGGGGGTTACTTTATTAAATCTCTACTGCTACAGCATGGGACACATGGAAAGGGGAAGACATGAGGTATGAGAATAGCTTTTGCATTCTTGGCCTTCTGTCCTTGAAAGAAGGATTTTTTCCAAGCTGACTTGCTTCCTGCAGCTCTTACAGTGCTGAAAACTGCTACTGTGTAGCCACAAGTTAAAGTGGAAACTCAATTTCGCGGGCTTCCCAGAGCAGTTCACACTTTAAACTGAGTGGATCACCCTACTCAGAGCATGATGGAAAGGCCGCTAATCACTCAGTAGGAATGTACTATTATAAGTACAGGCATTCATTTTTCTTTTCTAAACTGAATATGGCCTAAGGTAGATATCTAATAGAAAAACAAACAAGCTAAGAGCCTCTCACTGAGACTGAAACAAACAACACAGAATACTTATTAGTTTATAGAACTAAAGTTTCAGGAGAGTCATTGACCCAGAGTCTGTGGGAACAGAACTAGTCTCTGGATGACTTGGTTTCAACTAAGAGGAGGCTTTTCATCAACAGGCAGACTCAAAAATGTGGTTTGGATTTCAAAACACCCCATTCAGAAAAGAACGTTATCTAGATTTTTTTCTTTGCTCTGTTTAGGCATTTTAAACAGCTGCTTGGTACTTTGTGGGAATTATAAAGCTATGTATAACACAGAAATGGAATCCTTCTGGAACACATGTGCCCCCTTTCTTTACAATGAAGGTTATTTTTGAGAACTAAGATTGTGTTTTCAAACAAATGTGATCATTAACTGTGGTGTGTTGGAAAACATATGGCGTGGTTAGTTTCAGCAGGATCGCTCCTAATGAAAGCGTCTAAGTTCCCATGAGGAATCGAAATGCTACCAGTTGAAGAAAGCCAACAAAGGGGGGGGGGGAAGGAATCTCCCTACAGAGTCACAAACATGGCAGTGGTCTCATGATGTCAATATGGGACAAGAGGACCACATCTTGGCTTGTGTCACAGCAGTGAAAAGCTTCCAAGAGGAATAGCTCGCCTCAGAAAGGTTCCTAGATTGGTTGGTCCCATTCTTGAGGGCACTGAAAATATGGCCCTGGCTCCATCCTATCGCTGCCCTCTCCAAGGGTGAGCGCTTGTGGCACAAAATTTCAGATTCAGTCTGCCTTTCCCAAAAGACTGATCATTTTATATTGTATTTCCCAGAACCAACTTCTGGGCTCGCCACTCTTTGTTTTGTATCTCTGATTATTGTTTCCTCGACAGCAGACCCAAACAGAGCAAAAAAACCCACAAAAACATCAATCACCTTGGGAGACAGAAAAGACTAACACAGGTCTGATCACAGAGGACAAGTGTCTTGGCCTTGCCCTGCACAGGAGCAGTGAAGACCATGGGCTGGCAGGCAGTGGCTGCTGGAGCAGCCGTCACCGTGACTGTACAAACACTGCGTTTAGACGACAGACAAGTGCAAAAAGAACATTGCTGAGTCCCGTTTGTGTGGCTCGGCTGTGCGACTTATGGTGTCGGAGGTGGTTTTGGAGATGGGCATGAGCTCTCACTGTCGAAACTGGCAGCTCGGCCCTGCCACTGAGGGGAGAAGAAAACCTGGTTATTGATTGCTGGGGGAATTGACTTCTCAGATTCACTGGCCCATGCATTGTGTCCACCTCCCCCCGGCCTCAGTAAGCTTTCTAGACCTTTGCTATCAGCCATGCAAAAACAAAGATGCAAGCTCAGAGCTTCCTGTTTGGAATACTTTGTTTTCAGAAAAGATCTACTGCAGATTTAATTTCAGCTTCCTTTACAATATGGAGCGTTTGTGTGCGTGCGTGTGTGTGTTTGTGTGTGTGTGTGTGTGTGTGTGTGTGTGTGTGTGTGTGTGACTGTTTTAATGAGGTGCTATGACTGAACCGTTTCTGAGTGCTTCGGCCATTTTTCACACAATGAAAATCAGAATATGTTAGCAGCAAAGAGAGGCAGCATGTGCCCTTACTGCCAAGAACCCGTGATCATGAATCATTAGTGATTTGTCTGGGAGCTGTTAACACAGGAAAAAGCAATCCTGATGCTGCTTTGGTTGGGGCCCTCTCCTTCAGTCTTAAGGCATCTTGTGAGTATTTGCACTGGCTTGTGAAGGGGCAGGAGGTGGGGAGACATAGCCCCGCCCATTCCCTCTCCACTCCTCCTCTCAGGGCCCCTCCAGCCCCATTGAAGTGGGTGATGTAATGAGGCGGAATGGAGTGAAAGAGCAGGTAGAGGATGGATGGGCCTGTGCCTGGAGCCATTCAACCCTTCTTCAGATGAAAAAGCTAGTCATAGCTAAGAGATGTCTTCTGGGCAGAGATCTGACCCTATGAATACTCTTGACCCATCTAACAGAGCTCTAACTTCAAAGTGAGTCAGTGTCCACTGTTCACTCACTCTTTTGTGGCTGGGAGAACCAGTACTTTCTCATTGCCTGCAGGGCAGGTGCCAGAAGGAAGGAGGAGAGGGAGAGGGACAGAAAGGGAAGGAGTGAGAGAGGGAGGGAGGGAGGGAGGGAGAGCGCCCAAGCGCTAAGTGGTCTGGATGGCTCTCTGAAGCACAAATGCAGCCCCTTTCTGCTTTTCTTTTCATGAGCTACAGGGATCTCTTTCCTGGAGAGATGGAGCTGAGGTAGCATGTGTTTGGATGCTGCAGGAGGAATCCAGGACAAAGCTGCCCTTCAACAATTTCCAGACAGAGCCGAGCTACCTGAGAAGTAGACTGTTTGACTTTCAGTACTACTCCACAGTAAAGGGGACACCTACAAGGCCAAAGAGAGTCCACGGTCCTTCTCTGGGTTACTTGCTCCCTGGATCTCCCTGTGCAGGCACGATGAAGGTTTCTACAACTAGCTAAAGGGCTGTTGGTGTGGATGACAGCCACAGCATGCCCCTGACCTGACCTTCTCACCAGGGTGAACTTGGGACATCACCCAGTGAAACCCTCTTATTCTGCTGAGCCAGCAGACAGAGACACAGGGAAGTCAAGATCCAGACAGTTAGGGGCAGATCCAGGGCCCAGCTGGGCTCCTCGCTCCCGACACATTGTCCTGCCACTGTGCTGGCGTGTGACCACCCACTAGGGGAGGAAAGAGACACAGTGTAGTCAGGTCCACACCAGGTACTTACTCCTGACTCCAGTGGCTGTCTCTCCACTTGCAGCGAAATCCACGTGAGCGAAATCACAACCGAGGGGTTCCCTGGTGAAATATTTTAGATACATAAATGCCTGGTTCTTGAGCCCCCTGTGACTTCTGGCGCCAGTGTTTCCTAACCAGAAGGTGACACGAGATGACTTCCTTGTGCTTCCATCCAGCAAAGCTTCAAAGTTCTCCCTTCCCACCTCTAGTCAGTGCGAGGGACATGGCAATTATGGGCTTACCCCTGGGTAAGTATGTCACTTAAACAACCCGACCCACAGGCTAGGCCAGGACAGGAAACATGAAATGGCTAGGTGAAGGTTTTTCCTTTCTACAACAGCCCAGGGAGTAGTCACACAGAGTGTGACTGTTTACAGGCACAGATGAGGGGCGCTGGCTCCCCTCCTAGCCCCTGAGTTTTCCTATGCAGATAAACAAAAGGAAGAGATGGCTTCATGGACAATGCAAAGGTGAGTGATTTCGGCAGACTTATCACGGTGGCTCTGAAATAGCAGGAAACCTGTCCCCAGCACACAGGGAGCTTATTGTTCTGGGGCAGCTATGTCCTACTTGGGTCCTTTGCTGCATTGAGGGGGTAATGTTCCCGCTGAGATCTCAAAATCTACGTCAGATGCCTGGAACATGGTCTTTTGCTGATGAAGCACCTTGAATAAGGTCACTGGTCAAACCAGCTCTGTGTGTGGGGAGCAACAAGGACACACAGAACTAGGAGGGCAGGGCACTGGCTATGGCTTAATGGATTTTTATCCATGAGAGATCCAAGCAGGGAAGAAATACCTTTCCAGTTAATTTGTTTCCCTCAACCTTAACTTTAAATCCCAAGCAGGCAAGCACGCATGGTGTTCTCTGTTCTCATTAATGAAAAAGAAATGATCACAGCGTGGGAAACTCTGCTAGGTTAGGTGCGAGGCAAACACGCAGGGCTTCGCAGAGATTGGCCCATTTGTCATCTCGAAAGCTGGGAAGATTTCTTTATAGGCCACACACATGCAAGACTTGAGTTTCTAGCTAAACAGCTCCAAAGAAGGCGAGATGGGAGCCCGTGGGATGATTGGGAGGACACAGGTGGAAAGAAGTCCAGGAAGGGAGTGACTAGGTCATATGAACCAGGCAAGGTTGTAGACACATTTTTTAAAAAAAGGTACTTAAACTGTGGGTGTCGAGAGGGGCAGTGGAAACCAAACCGATGCATACTGCCGAAATCCTAAATTGCCAAGACAAATGCCCTTTCGAGGGGAAGCTGTCCTCTGAGGAGAAAATGTGAGGAGAGCGGGTGGGGGGAGGGGCACTCTCCATGCAGCCCGGTGAGCCGGGTCAAGAAAAAAAAAAGTAAACCCAAAGGATATGAATCAATTTAATCTCTTTTTCTTTTTCCATATACAGTTACCTTCCCTTCACTGCCTCATCAAATATTCATTTCCAAGGGCTCCACTTCACTTATCTTCCTTGCCTTTGTCATCTGGACTAGACAGCCGGAGTTTCTCAAAGAAAAGGCCCTTGGAATCAATTATTTGGCTTAATTAGACAGTATTCATCATGATCGCAGGATCGAGGCCTGGCTTTTCTGGGGTGCTTTGCCCTTCGCGCCAGACACCGCTCTGCTCGTTTCTTTCTTTGTCAGGGGCAGGTGGGAGGGGCCTGGCAACAGTGACCCTCTATTACAGATTCAAGATAAGAGAAGCAGCTGTGGTTCAACACACGGGTTCTTGAGCCCATGTGCCCCGAGAGTTAGCGTTTATCAGAAAAGACCAGAGGAGGGCAGTGAATTACTTGAAGAGTCACAGCCGACTCTTAGCTCTCATTCCATGCCAGGCCCCCATGCACTCAAAACTGGTTAATATATTTATTCTATTCTTAAAGGTTTCCACAATATTTCAACAGAAGGGGCAGGATTAAGGCCTTACATCCTGTCCTGGGTGAATACACAAGGACTTTGGTGAGGTGTTAGAATGGCTTCCGGTTGGCTAGCACTCTGCCCAGTAGTGCCTACTTGTGACTGGGAGTGGGAACCTCACCCACACCATGAAGAGAGCTTTCTGGCTGAGGGCAGGGCTCCACAACAGAAGGAGAAGCCCTGAAGGACTGGTCTCACTCACTGAAGAGCCACAGATGTGGTAAAACCACGGAAGCCACAGGACTGGATGGAAAGACCTGAGTTGGCAGGATCTTTGGCTTATTCCTGGCTCTTTGGTACTGCCTCAGGGCCTGGGGAGGTAAGCTGGCTAGCTTGGCTCCCTGGAAGCCACCATCTCCAACAGATTTAACATGTCTAGTCTCCTTAGCTTCTGCTCTTTCTGGGACGGCACCTTGAACCATGGTTGGGATTGCTGTGCCTACCCTGAGATGGGAAGGAGGCCTGCAGATCCTCAAGTGTGCCATGCCTTTTCTGATCATGCGGGAGAAGGGGTATTCTTAAAGGCCATGTGGAAGAAGGGAGAACTCTTTAGTTTGGAATTAAGGGTTTTCTGTTTTGTACAGTTCTCTAGACATAGTGAGTGCCTACTAAGATGGAGGAATCATCACCAGGCTTCCCAGGATGGGCTGGGTATGAGATACTAGAAATGAAGCTGAAAGCTTGACTGACCACCCCAGCATCCCGGCACACTTGAGGAAAAGCAGGTCTGGGGCCACTGAGAGAAGGAAAGGGCGGGGACTTAGGGGGCTGGTAATTTAGGGTCCAGATTATAGGAGGTCTGGACAGGGCAATGGGAGCCAGTGGTGGTCCTTCAGAAGGGTAGGACCATGAGAAAAGTGTCCAGGCAGATGTGGCCTGAGTCTGGAAAGAGCACAGGAGTGTTCATCTGTGGGACTTGGTGCAGGGTGAGCATATTATAAATACTCCTCAAAGCTGCCATCGAGAGAGGAGTAATGGGCTCAGGAGGCCAAGCCTGGAGGCCCAGCCTTGTTAGAACTCAGGCCTCCAGCTTTAGTCAGAAGGTGTGACACCTGACACCATACTCTCTCCTAGCTGTGGTAAGACAGTGCATGCTGGAGAGAGGACGTGTTCTTTGGGTATCTCATCAGATGAGATAAACTGCCAAGCCGTAGCTGTCTGGAGTCTCGGAACTTACTGTTCTGATGGGGTGGAATTCCTTGCCAAATCTGACCTCACCCCCTTGGGGCTTATCCTACAGGACTAAATTGGCCCAGGAGCTTTGAGAAAGCTTTTCAAGCTGGCACAATGAACTTCCAGAAACTTCTTCAGAGTTCTTGCTTTCCATTAAGGACTCGGTGTTGCTGTTGAACTTTGTTATTTTTTAAGGCAAGGTCTTGTGCAGTCCACATTGGCTTCAAACCTATGAAGCTGAGGATGACCTTAAGCTATGAATCCTCCTGGCAGACACTGGGATAAGCTGTGTGTGCCACCATGCCTGGCTTTAGGCAGTGCTGGGGAGCAAACGCAAGGCTTCATGCAGGCTAGGCCAGGAGTCTACCAACTGAACTACACCCTAGCCCCATGACTGCTACCTTTTGAAATATTCACCATCAGGGACATTTTGCCAGGCAGCCTCCAGCTTCCTTCTCACCTGTCTGCTTATACTGAATGTTCCTCATGCCCCTTTCCCATAAAAGGCGGAGGACTCACAGCAGCCATCTGCCATTCTCCAGCCCACGACATCATGCAGTAAACATGCCAGTGGCCAGGCAACCTCACCCACCTCTTTGAAGGATTTCTTTACCTCCACCAAGGAGTGCCAGTGTGCAATGGGTTTCCGTGGGTATGCCAGCATCTCATTCCAGTGGTCCCTGCCAAGGCCTTCAGCATTGATCCCCACTCTACAGACGCCTATGATCTCATTGTGGCCAACTCTGAGGGAGAAACAAAGGTCTTTGCATTGGTCTTTCAAAATGCTGTGAGAAGGGATACCCTTTGGGGGAGGGGCTAGATCTAGTAGCACATCTAACTCAGAACCATGAGCTCTGAAGATCAATGCTTATCAGAGTCTTCAGCTGCCAGTGGCCCAGAGGCTTTGCCCAACCTCTTATGGTAAGGAGTGAGTAAAGGCCATAAACCTACTTGGATGCTCATGAAACAATGGCAGAAGGCCTGGCTGGGTATTAGGTGTCTGTCTCTTCCCCTATTTGACTCGGGAAGCATGTTACAACCTCTCCGGAGATCCCAACACTTGGGAATAAACCAACCTGCCATGAGCATCATTTCTCCACACCATTAGTGGCTAGGCTGTGATTTATCCACTCAACAAGAACATAAATCATCCCTCAAGTATGTTAGTCAAGCACCTACTGTGCCTGAGAACTTGAGCTAAAAATCTAGGGTTGACGCTTTATTGTGTGGTTTCTGTATCCTTCAGCTAAAATGATGCTTGGAGAAGAGTCATGGGAGATGGAATGGAATGGTTGAAAATGTATCTTAGGAAGAAAGGATCAAGAGAGAGAGAGAGAGAGAGAGAGAGAGAGAGAGAGAGAGAGAGAGAGAAGGGAGAGGAGTTAGTGGGATGGCAATTTGGAGTCCGGATTATGGGAGCCTTGGGCAGTGTGAGCCAGTGGTGGTCCTTCAGAAGGGCAGATGTGTCCTGAGTTGGGTGGCTGACTTAGGGCAGAGAGTGATGGGGGCTGCACTGCCATCTTATGGGAGAGGAGATGCTAGAGGCATTTGAAAGGGCAGAAAATAGGACTTGGTGGCAAGTAGAAGAGAAGAAGCAGTGAGGGATGAGTTGGTAGGCAGAGTTACCCCTGATGGGAGCAGGCTGGGAAGGGAAGCTGGAGATTTTAGTAAGGGGAAGTCCATGTTCTTCCTCAAATTCCAGTGTCTTTCTTAAGTGGGGCCACATTTGAAACAAATGGGCTAAGGTCAAGCTGCACTGGGGGACAGTAACCATAGTCCTTTGGGCAGGCACCTACCTATCATAGTCCATAACAGAGATGAGCAGGCTCACTTGATCCATGTTTTCTGGGGGGATGTCAAAGATGATGGCCTCATTGTAGACAGGGTTGAGGGTGTTCTTCTTAATAGTTGTTTTCTTCTTCTTCAGTCTCCGCCCGTCACACAGCAGGGACACTTTGACATAGGGATCTGTGCCAATGAGGGCAGTGCAAGACATAGTGTGTTAAACAGATGTTTGTTGTTCCCTTTGTTTGCTTTTTGACACAGGTTCTACTCTGTAGCCCAGGCTGGCCTCCAGCTCACAACCATCCACCCGCTCAGCTTTCCAAGTGCTGAGGTGACAGGTGTGAGCCATCATTAGACAGATGTTGTTGGTCAGCGTTTGTACAGAGGGACTGAATCGCTGGGCCCACTGCTGCTCATCAGGTGGGATCCTCTGGTTAAGGTAATTCCGTCACCTTGTATTTATGTAGCACACCTGTCTCTGAGGACGCTCCACACTTACAAAACAGTCTTTAGCTGCCTTCGTATTCTGGGGAGAGTGCCTAATGGGGTGTCACTAATAGGAAAACTAGCCCCGATTTAGACAAGACACTTGTCAATGGTTATGTAGTTCCCAGCCCTAAATCTCAGCGGCACCGGGGCTGGAGAGCTCAAAGGAATATTGAAGTTGCCAAAAGCACCGTTTCTTTCACCTATACAGAGTCATTTCCTCTGGAGTTTTGCCAGCTTTTTAACCAAAAGATTAAGGAGTTAAAAATAGGACCCGGTGCTGCCTGAGGAACAGCCACATTTACAGAACGAAGCCACGGTCACAATGCTGCTCCTGTCCTCCCCACTCGAAGGTGATTTTCGGTCCCACTGTCCCAGTCATCTCATTTCCATTTGGGATCAAGAAGCAGGGAAGTGGTCCTGCTCGCTGCTTCCCTGGAAGCCATTTCCTGGCCACTTCTGAGCAGTGAAGCAAGGAGGGACTGTGGCCAGGAGAGTGAGTGAGACAGTCCCCCAAGACTCAGGGCAGCTGGTTGACATTTTATTTCTCAGTGGGATCTTGGATTCTCTCCATGCTGCAAAGAGATGTCTTTTTATTAAACTCCCATGATCCCCCTAATCTTCTCTCCTCTTTAGCTTTCTGAATGGGTATTTCATGGTCATCTTTCTAACCTGAAATTTTCTACTCATCCAAATGAAGGGACACCTATTATATCTCATAGCACAGGTGTCTCAGTCACCATCATAATTAGTATTTATGCCGCACAGCTCAAGAATGAGGACAACTCGAATGTAATAATAGCTTTGAGACCCTGACATGCTCAGGCACCTTCTTGTCCAGAAGCCAGGGCTCATGTGAGCCTGTTAGGAGGCATGAGCCAGAGTAGTCCCTCTCCTGGCCTTGTAGTTCTGAGATAAGTAGGCCGCATACTGTTTGGCATCATGTTGGGGAAAGGGCAGATGAAGGCTACACTTAGAATAAAAACTAGACACCTGCGGAGATGAGCCAACCAAGCCCAGAGCCTTGACAGAATTCTCATAGACGCTCAAGTGGGCTGCTGACTAACCAGTATGACAGTGGCAGCTGTGCCTTAGCCATGGGGACACTTGGGTTTATGGAGGAACTGGGGAGATCATGAGGAATTTAATCAACCTCCTGTCCTGGCCATACACATTCAGGGCCCCATTCTGGGGAGCATTCGGTAAAGAGGAAAAAGTGTTGGAAGTTTGTATGTCATGGCTGTCTGGTTTCCACGGGCTCTCTTCCCTATGGTTATTCCCTAGGACATTGGTCAGGTCACCATAACTGAAAAGAGTCAGGCCCAAGACCCATGTTTAGTATTCAAGTTTTTCCAGCTACACATTGCTTTAGAAAGTGTCTCTAGGTTTGTGCTACCTTGTTCCTCTTTTATTCCTGGTCCCAGACACTCCATTCAGAACACATTTCCACATAAGGAAAATACAGGCATAGCCACTTGTCCCTGAGCCACCGGGCCAGTTCCTTCTTCCCAAGCTCTGTCCATCAGTGCACAGAGTATCTGGTTTATAGCATTTGGTGAGCAGATTCCTGCAGGAATGGAGCTCTTTCCAGCATCTGAGAGGCTAATCAGAGAGCAGAGATGACTGCTCCCCAGGGTGCTTCTGGGAAATGTTTGTGGCATTTAGCGGAATGGTGGCCCCAGATGATCCTTGAGGTCTGTTCTTCTCTACGATGCCTTGAGCACCAGGGGCCTAAAACCCAGCCTGTACTCCTGCTTCATTGTGTGAGAGTCATCAGAATTAGGCATTTGGAATTCGTTCTTGTGATAAGAGATGTCTATCATCTACTGTGCAAAACATTTATCATCTATCTCCATTTCTAGGCAGAAAATGGAGGCTTAGAGAGATTAAATGACTTGCCTAGGACTTGATCCCAGGCCTGACTCCAAAGTTACTTTTGACCTCTAGTTACAAAACAGTTTATAAACAAAAGGCAGCAGAGACAAAAGAAAGGGTTATTCCACATTTTTGTAGCATACTGCTCTTTTATTTTGTGCTAACTTTATTGTCATGGTTCTAAGAAATAGACTTAGATAGCTGATTCTGGGCTAGTTCAGATCAAAGAGAATGGAAGATCTTTGGCTTGAGAGGTCTACATCTAGAACAGACATTAAGGAGCTCCGTTTTCTTTCCACATTAGCCCAATGTCAGACCTGTCTGGGCAGAAGGCAACTACAACCTCAAGCTCACAAACAGATGATACATCATGAGGTGCCCTGGGCATGCAGGTATCTACTTCATCATCTTGGGCCGGTTTCATATGCTCGATGTAAATTCATTTATTCAGTGTTAGCTTGCTCATTCATTAGTCCACATTAAATGAATGCTTATGGTGTTTCATGCATTGCTCCAGAGACTTGCACAACTCATGGAACAAAACAGGCATCTCTGTGCAAAAAAAGGCCGTAGCATTTACAGAATCCAGCCGAGATTTAACATGAGCTTTCAGACCCAGGTAGGGAGGAGGGAAAGTTGTGAGGGAGAGGTTAGAACTTAACAGTAAAAACAATCTTTTCGCCCCAAACCCTCCTATTTACAGCAGCCCTTATTATTGTTACCTATGGCTTCCCTCCAAGATCACTCTCTGGCACATCAATTTGATTACAACAGAGAAAACAGGGTTGGGGACCAGGGCAGCAAAATTCTATTTCCCTCAGCCGCCTTGAGAGTCCTCAGTGACTTTCCGTCCCTGTGTGCACTTATTTTGGTATTAAAATGAAATCTACGTTGGCTGTATTCGGGGAAAGCTGGCTTGCTGTTGCCTGAGAGCTTTTTCCCATGTCAGCAGAGGTTCATGATGCTCTCTGCTGAATCCTGATGTGAGTTAGCTGCTTTGGGGGAGGAGGAGCCTAGGGGCCCTCAGCGAGGGCTTTGGACTTGGGTGGGTCCTACAGTGACTGTGGGACTGGATCAGGATTTGAAGGGCCCCCAGACCCCTTCCTCCATCTTCATAAGGTGCACCAGAACCAACAGCCTCTCTCTCTCTCTCTCTCTCTCTCTCTCTCTCTCTCTCTCTCTTCTCTACCATGGTGGGTACTGAATCCAGGGCTTTGTTCATGATAAGCAAGTACTCTCTCCAGCACTGTGCTGCATACCTGGCTCTTGTGTTTTTGGGACAGGCTCTCACTATGTAGCTCAGGCTAGCCTTGAACTTGCTATTTGCCCAGACTGACCTCAAATTTGCAATCTTCTTGCTTCAGCCTCCCAGATGCTGGGAATTCAGCTGTTTATAATCATATTTCCAGGAAAATAAACAGTGAACACAAACGGAATACTTGGAAAGTTCTTTTGCTGTATTTTCATGAGCTCAAAGGTTCCTCCTGTATGGTGTTACACTGGTAATCAGAATCATCTGAAGAGGCTCTTGGACAGAGGTCTTGGGAAACAAACCAAGCCTTTCCCCTCTTCAGCATCTTGATGCAGCCCCAGGTTCACTGGGAAATTCTCTGGAAGGCTTCACTTGTCCACATCGCAGAGCAGTTTGAACTGACAGTGGGGAAGGAGGTTTCTAGGCCTGCTACTGCTTTGTTAACTCATAAGTTCCCCTATGACAGTGGTTGTCAGCCTTCCTAATGCTGCAACTCTTTAATACAGTACCTCATGTTGTGGTGCCCCCCCATCATAAATTATTTTCATTACTGCTTCATAACTGTAATTTTGCTACTGTCATGAATCGTAAATATATGACATGCAGGATGTCTAAAATGCAACTGCAAAGGGGTTTAGAACAGGTTTAGACCTGTAGCGTGGCAGGAAGGATCGAACCTCCTGTGCCACATCAAGCCTGGAAGTTTCTGCAGCTGCCTTCACACAAATGTCTCCCCGTGGCTGGAACTGCACTAGATTTCTATTCAGTGCAGCTGCTGTGGTGCTAAGGCCAACACAGGAGCTTTGCAGGAAAACCAAATTCTTGAATTCAAATGCACTTTGCTTTCCATACAATGCATCCCCTCATTTGGTGATTGCAGTTTGCATGCTATTGCCCCAGGCCTGGGTGAACCTGCTAACATTTACATTCCAACTCCATATAACCTCTGTAGGTCCTGGGAAGACTGCCCCTCCCCAAGAATGATATTAGTAATATCTACTGAGTGCCTACAAGTACGTGGATTACCAAGCATATTCTGAATTTGACCAGGGCACAGGATTAACGCTCCCAATTTTCAGATTTAAATAACTGCTTCAGTTTAGATCTTGAATGTCCCTCCAGGATATTGAAGCCCTGGTTCCAGCCTGTGGGACTAGTCACGGGGACATGCCCTTGAAGGGGGTATTAGGACCTTGATCCCAATCCTCTCTCCTTGTTTCCTAGCTGACATGGGGGGAATAGGAGTCCTGGCTATGTTGTACTGTGTTGCCACAGGCTCAAAGCAAGAGGGTCAGATGACGATGGGCTGAAGCCTCTGACCTGTGAGCCACACAATCTCTTCCTCCTTTGAGTCAGTTGGCAGATGTCTGCCCACACGGAGGCAGAATGCTAGCACAGAGTCTGTATCTTTATGTAGGGAGGAGGTGGCAGAGGTGGGATTCAGATGCAGGCAGTTTTCCCCCCAACAACAGGGGCAATTCTCGCCCTTTCTTCCCAAATAGTCTTCTAAACCCTATGGTTTGGACTTCAGGGAGACCAAATGATAACCCTGGAAAAAGAGAGGTACCTGAGTAGCCTGTGATGTCCATTGCCTTGAGATTGCGACACTTGATCACTGTGAGGGTGAGCCTGCCTGCTGTGGGCAGGTAGCAGAGGGAGAACATGATCTCCCCCAAGTCCACACTTTCCTGCAAAAGAAGCAGACGAGAGAGCAGGTGAAGGGCGCTTGCTTTGCCGGCAATGGCTATGGGGAAGTCTGGACCCAAAGTGTTTGGAACTGCAGTAGTCAATGTGTTTAAGACCCAAGGGACTGGTCTCATCTGGGGTAACTGGGAACAGAGGGCAGCAATTACAACAATGCCCCTTCAAATATTTACTACTTCCGTGTTCTTTCTCACTGTAAATTTTGAGACTAGTTTGAGGCTGACCTCAAACTTGCTCTGCAGCTAAGGTAGACCTTGAACTTCTAACTTCTGCCCTCTGAGTGCTTGTTGGCTGTGCTTACAAGCTTTCATCATCGTAACTCATTTCTGAACTGCTAGGCAAGCACTCTGTCAATGAATTGCACTACAGTCCATCCTTCTTCTGATCAGATTCTGGGTCCATCTTTGGTCACTAGCTTTATGCATATCATGGCTGCAGACCTTTGGTGTTTATATACCCTTGCCCTGTTACTGAGCCTCTGATGTCCATCTATCCAGTCATGTGGTCAGAACACATTCTTTATCCCCTGGATCATTCTTCTTCCAGAACATCTGAAACTCTTCTCTGCTCTGTTTCTCAGTTTATTTGTCTTTCATCACCCGGCTGCCTTGGCCCCAGGCTCTATCTTCCTGTCTAGAAGTAGACGTGCAAGGAATTGATACCCTACTGAGGCCATTCTGCCAACCAGCCAGATGTACACTTGCCATCTCGTGCTTTATGACCCGTCTCATCCAGTTTGTCCTCTTCCCTTAAATGTGATGATCCTTCAGAAATACACAGATGCTCTGTTGCCTCTCCTACCCCAGAATCATCTCGCCTAGGGATCCCTGGAAGCTTCCGAGAGAGCAGAAAGTATCCCTTCCTAGAAAGTCAGAGCATCTTTCTAGACAGACAGCAAGCACGTCCATTTGTTGTAAGAGATAGCTCCTCAACAGATTGCTCTCTCTGCCTGCTTCCTACTTATTGAAAGGGGGTACAGATGGCTTAGAATTCAAAGGCATGGAACTGTCTTCCAGAGGTAAGTTAGAGAGAGGAGGCAGAGGACGAGGAGGAGGACAGAATTGAGGTGGCTCTGTTTTCAGATGAGGCCTTCTATCTGTTCATTTATCCACCCATTTTTTGAGTCAAAAATATTTATCAAACACCTGCCATGTGCAGAGAGAGCAGGAGAGAGCAAGGAGACAAAAATCCCCACCTTCACGGAGCTTGCATATTATTAGGGCCATAGATTATATATACATACATATATACATTAAAAGGCAAACAAGTTAGTCAGAAGTATTAAGGGGGAAAAGTCAGGCAAAGAAGGGGGTTAATAAATGACTGTGGGGGGTGGTGATACTAGCAGAATTTTTAGATACTTAAGTCGGGTGTTTCCTGACTCCACCCATCTATCTGTTCACTGATTGATTCCTTCTCCTCCTCCTTTCATATTTATTTACTCAATTTTATAAGTGTGTTTTGTCCATGTGCAGTATATGCATGCCTAGTACCTATGAAGGTCAGAAGAGGGTGTCAGATCCTCAGGAACTGAAGTTACAGACGGTTGTGAGCCACCATGTGGGTGCTGGGAATCACCCAGGTCCTCTGCAAGATTAAGTGCTCTTAACCTCTGAGCTGCCTCTCCAGCCTGGGCTTACAGAAGACATGTTACAGGGTTGAGTGGATACAGCTCCCACACCCACAGTCAACCAGGCCACTGATGGCGCTGGACTCCCATCTTCTCAGGTGTGCCCCTTTGTCTACCTAGACCCTTCATCAAGGGAGGGAGACACAAGAGGTGCCCTGTGCCCTGGAACTGGGGGAACACCACTGTTCCCTTTGTGCCTGGGGTCCTCTATGTGATCCAGTGGCACCTCTGGATAACATACCATCTCTGACTGAACCAGTGAGATACAAGCAGAAATCCATCTCTCCTTATTTCCCTTCACAGTGCTCTAGGTCTGACCCTGCCCAAAGTTCCAGAAACTGTCTCAGACTCACTAAGTACAGGAGCCAACACTGTGCACTGCTCAAGCGTCTGTTAAGTCCTTAGCTGCTTTCTCTCAGTGAGCCTCAGCATAGCACCAGAAGGTGGGTGCTACCATTACGCCTGCCTCACACTGAAGGAAATGAATGTTCCTGAAGTTAAGGACTTGCCCGGGGTTGCATGACTAGCAAGTACTTTACTGCCAGGCACTCATATGTCAATGTCCCCGCTTAGAAACCTTCAGCTCTCCCCCTTGTTCAGCTTCTGACTCAAGACTCTACTTTGTTGGGGACCGCATCAGCGGTCCAGTTCTTTCTCTCTTCCTCGTCTTACTCTCTTCTGCAGGCCCATTTCTACTCCACCTGACTCGTCTGTCTTCAGTTACTTCTGCCAAAATCCTTCTCCCTCTCCCCCTTGCTTAGACAATGCCATACCAGATGAATGGCTCATGGGAGTTACCAAGTACCTCCCTCCTTCAGTTGTGCCTAGCCCTACCATGTAGCAATTAACAAAAGGCCCCTTTGGTGTGGGATCTTTGTCTAACAAACCACATACCCTTTGGAGGCAGCAAACAGCACAGACGAGGCTCGACAGATGCCGGTACCAAAGGAGACTGTGTTACAGCCGAAAGAATACCGGCAGGGGGGATTCTCTGTAGCCACATTATGATCAAGGTAGGGCCTTGGGAAGACTTCTGGAAGCCCCTGTGGCTCCTCTAACAGGGAATAAACAAAGGTCGCTGTCACCATGTCCCCATCATTGCCATGCTGTAGTAGCAGGGTGGCACTTACCTATGCCTCCTCTGGGAGATTGGCTTTGGCTACATGGGCTCCATCAGGGTGAATGGAGTGTCTGAACAGCTCTCAAGGATGGCTCCCTCAGGGGAGCGCTGGCCCAAGGGCCCCCTCTGTTTGCAGGACTGCCCTTTCCCACGAGACTGTGGAGGCATGCGGGTGCTGGATGTACGGTACAGTATGGAGTCCCCAGGCCCCATACCTGAGACTTTCACTCTTCCCCGATCCAGACAGGAACAGGAACTGGCTCAGAATCCCACCATGATTCAGAGAGAAAATGGGGGCCAAAGCCCAGTTTCAGAGGCTTCTGCTGTGGCAGCCTGGGCCTCCTGAGCCTGCTGGCAAGCTGGCTGCCCTGATTCAGTGGACTAAGGAGTGTTGTTCCACTTTACAGGCAGACAACACGGGACTAAGGTATTTGCTCAAGTGAAGCAGGTTCATTCTGAGTAAATCCAGAGGGGGGAGATAAACAAGCAGCAGCCTTTCACTGATAGTCACCTCTCCCCCCCCCTCTCTCCCTCTCTCTCTCTCTCTCTGCACTGACCTCTTTCTCAGGTTTCAACCCAATTCTCCACACCTTGCCAGCCTTTTATCCTCTTTAGGCAGAGGTCCACAAAGTGTCAGAAACCAGCTCTGCCCCCCCTTTACTAACCTAGGGCTGACAGGGCTGATCAGAGCTCACTAGCAGCTTGGCTGAAGCTGGGAGAAAGTGGGCCTGAGGCCAGGCGAGGAGAAGCAGAAACCGTTCCTAAGTGCAACATGTCTTCCACCCACCGATGCTTCTGCCAGGGTGCCGGGCGTTAAGATTCTGAGGCACACCCATTGTGACACTGCTTCGTTAGGCTCCACAGCAGCTGCTGCCACAGACCATTAAAGCATTCTTTCTCCTTGATGCACTTAACATCACCCTAGACATACTAGACAATGATGATGATGATGAATATTATAGAATGCTAACTGGAAAAGGACAGTGAACCACAATCCAAGAGACCCAGGCTTTTAGTCCCTCTGCTGTTTATTACCTGTGAGACCTTGAGCAAGTCATTTTACATCTCTGAACTCTCACCTGTGAAATGAAAGGGTGATGCTCAATATCTATCCTGTGAGCCACGAGACCTAAGACTTCACATCAGAAGACCTAAGAGGATCTAATCTATAAACCGTCACCTGCGGAGATGGTCCAGGGGTGCTGAACTGATGTCCGTTGCCCATCTCAATGAGCCTAGCAATATGGTTTGACAGTTCAAACACTTCCAATCCTTCCGCTCTCACAGCCCCCAGATGGTCTGCTGTTCTCTGGGGCCAATCAAGCTACTTCCTAAACAGGCAAGGAGTGGCGTCAGTGCTCTGACTCTGCCTGGGGAATCCAGGCTGAGCAAAGCAAGAATGATGCTTCCCCATCTTTTAGAGAACACTTCTAGTCTCTTAATCATTAAGTAGCTTGTCTGAATCTCTCATCATCAGCAGAGAAGCATCCGCTACACTTTCAGGAGAGCCATGGGAGACCTAAAAAGGCTTTTGGAAACACTGGCCAGGAAGTGCTGTTAAGTTACTTTGGGCCAAGTGGACCTGGAAGGAAGATAGTGTGGAAGCCAAAATGGCTCTGATGGGTGAAGAGGCATGAGTGATTAGCCCCTCTGTGAAGGCCTGAGATTTAGGGCTGAGGCACACAGATGAACCAGATATAGAGAGTGGACCCTCCGAGCCAGGCTGACTCCTCTTTCTCCTCACAGCATGGGTCACAACACACAACTTGAACATTAATGTGGGGATGTTATGATGGATGCATGTGGCCCTTTGAGAGTAGGGATGGGATCTGGCTTGACTTACCATTTCACCTTTCATGTCTAGCCCATGGCCTGACAGATAGTACATGAGAATATGGATTTGGGATTAGGCAGCTCTGATTTATGAGTAATATAACTTATACAATCCTTCATAGACTTGGGGCTAATATCCAACCTACCTCCTAGGGTTATTGAAAAGATTAAATAAGGTGATTCATGCAAAGTGCTTGGCTTAGTGTTTGGCATGGAGTAAGTGCTCAGTATGGGTTCACTGCTCTAATTATTACTATTATAGAAACTTCATGGTCTCAGGGTGGATACAGAGGAGAGGAAGGCAGTCAGGGCTGGCTTGTGCAATAATACGGGCACAATAACAGAGCTGTGTGGACCTGAGAGTGTAGAGAGAGCAATAAACTCTGGCAGAAGTATCAGGG